TAGCTGCCTCAATTTAAGGAGGGAGAGAGCTCAAGCACATCTGGTGTCTTAGCAGAGGACTTTTTTTTGCAAGATCAAGCCAGGACTTATAGGCTAAAACCCACTCAACCAGCAGATATCCTAAAGCTGTTTCTAACCACAGTGTGGACATTTTAATCCCAAGTGGTAGCACTCTGATAGCCACCACAGAGATTACAGATCTGTTTAGTGTAAATCCACCCTCTAGCCTGTCCGTCTCTTAGTAGAGACATCCTTCTGGAAAAGGCATTACCGTGGACTTTATAGCCAACTGGACAACACTTTTTGTAGTGGTAATGCCTGTAATTGCAGCCCTTGTAGGCAAAATCTGCAGCATTGGATGTGGAGTGAAATAAATAATTCATTCTTTTTGAATAAACAGAGGCTGCTGATCTGCTTTGTTGCTGCAGGAGAAGTGGTGCTTCTGCTTTTTAAGCCACAGCATCGACATTGGTGATAATACCTCTCAATCCTAAAAGCATCAGAAAAATCTCACCCTAATTCCATTTCCTAAAAAAAACTGAGGAGCTTTTCACAGAAGGCAGGGTTTGTACAAACAACACCTTCAACAGCGCAAACAGGGGTAATGCTGGCAAGAGTGTTGAAAAAATGCGGCATTCAAAGAGATGACTGTCCAGCCCATAATCTCCACAAAGGTACCACACAACAATGAATAGTATTTTTCAGGCACATAGTTCAAAAGCAAGTTTTAAAAGGAGTATCTAGCTAAAAGTTTTCAAGTGATTATCCAAACTTCTGGCTGAGCTGGCAAACCACTCCTCTTACTGGTAGTATCTGAGAAAGTCAAGATGGCACGAGGTTCACTAAGGCTCTTAAAAATGGTATTTAAATATTAATTAAAACTAGGGAACACTGACACTAGGAAGCATTAAGGTGAGAAACCAGTCTTCAACTCTTTTCTCCCTGGCTTCACCAGCCAGGACAAAGTGTCTAGGGATCTCCAGTATTCCTTTCTGACTGCTGTTCTAGAAAGGTGGCTTGAAGCAATGCAGAATTCCCCTGCTTTGTCTGGAGCCATGGGCTTTGTTTCTGCAGCGAGCAAAATAAGCAGCAACTATGTATCTGGCACACCTACCCTGAGACTTAATGCTGGTCTGCTTCACACAACTAAATAATTAACTTTGTGAATAAGCAAACATTTGCCACTGACCCACTTCCCAAAGAGCCTAGATGAGGCTGCCAACAGCCTAGTTCCACCAGCATCAGAACAAACCCCTCACACCAGTTTTGTCCTTCCCTCCTATTTTTCAATGCTTCAGCAAGTGTCTTGAAAACTACTCAGCTGGGGGCAGGGATGGAGGGGGGAAGGGAAGTGAGAAAAATAAGGGCAGAAGGCTGTCCCTGGGAAAAGGACAGGACAGGAGCATCTCTTTAACAGGAGTAATGCCATATCTTCTATGACTGGAAGCCGTATACTCCACCGTAACTGGAATGCATGTTGGCACTTGGATGTTTTTTTCAATTGAAGTGAGGCAGTTTCCATTCACTTCTGACTAATTAATGCAGACCAGAGATCCTGGAGCTCCCAGCTCCTACCGGCAGGTCTGAAGTGTCCACACTTCTGAAGTGGCAGTGAAACCTGTTACAGTTCTTCCTTTTTGCAACTAGGTGACACACATTTCTTCCTAGGACCACCCACCTCCATCCCCAACCCTCCACTTCTTCTCTGTTCTCTCTGCTGGACCCTGGAAGAGGAGGAGGAGAAGGAGGGAGACTGCTTGGTGGATACAGCACCTCATGGCCCAAAGTACCCTGGTACCCTTGGCTTTTTTGCCTTAAGATACTGAAAGTATGAAGTTCCTTTTCCCATATCCTTCCCATGCCTGATTTTCTGTCATTGCCATATCCCCATCCCACCATAATATATTTTCTATATATGCAGGGTGCCATTGCCTAGGCATTGGCATCCAGAGCCTTTTAGGATGCTACAGGGCACCTGAGGCATCTGCATGGCTTTGCAGCTGTAATTGAAAATTGACAGAAGCTCAGCTTCTCCTTTCTGGGATGTCACTGTTTGACTCAGGTCCGACAACAATGCTCTCGACCCCCTCCCCCTCCCACCAAGGTAGGGAAGGAGAGAGAGAAAAAGAGAGAGACTTGGCTGGATTGAAAACTAAACTACACAGCTTAAATTAAAACACTAATGAATGATACAAGAAAATATATACAATTATATACAGATATATTCAGGTATGGGCAAAAGCCTCTCGCCTCCCCCCACCCCCAGCAACTCCCACAGCACTTCCCTGAACTGGGAAGAGTCCTGAGGAGTCCCGGAGCTGCTGCTGGAGAGAGCACAGAGTGATGAGGGTCATGAGAGCTCAAGCCTAAGGGTTGACGGTGATGGATGAACAGAGTCCTCCCTGGACACCGGCCATGGACGGAAGAGAAGGGAGGAAGAAGAAGGAAGGAAGTTGTCTTCTATGATCTCTGACCTTCCTTTGAGCTTACGTAGATATATGGAATGGAATATCTCTGGTCAGTTTTGCTGTCTGTCTAACTCAGCCTCCTACGGGGGGGTCACAGATCTCCCCATAGTGTCTGAGCCGGCAGAGTGCAGGTGCGACCTTGAAGCCTCAGTAGTTAGAAAAACATTCCACTGTCTTATCAGTCTAGCAGAACACACTGTTGCTAGTTAAAAGAAAGCTTACTGAAGGAAAAAAAAAAAATCAGTAAAAAGAAAAACTGGCTTCATCCTGGCTCAAACCAGGACATGGGAAAAGCAAAAGTAATTGAGATTGATACCCTGAGGGCCATAAAATGGTGCCAGATGCTTATGCTTAGGCATATGATGCTGCCTCCTTTTCCATTGACAGTAATAGTTTCTTAGGCATGTAGCACATATGTAGATACCTATTTATAGAAACCTAAATGCAGTTGTCTTCATCTGGAGCTGAATCCTGCTCTTCAATCTCTACTTGGCCAACAGCTGCAAGGCCATTGGCCTTTTTTCCTTTTAGAGCACACATACTGTTGTTACATTGGAGCTCTTTAGGATCTGATTAAACCAGACACTCAAACAGAAATAAGGAATTTGGCGTCAACTTTTCAAAATGCAAGGGAAAAAAAAAAAGCTTCAGAATTAAAAATGTTCATGACAAAACAATCTCAAAGGTTTAGATAAACTAATCTACATGAGTACAGCCAGGTTTTAGATGGCAAAATGACCAGCCATTACAGGTGATGTAGGCTGTCCAGTGAAGACAGTAAAGGCACATTGAAATTTGTATAGAAAGAGTAGTTATTTGTTTTATAAACAGACTCCATATGGCACTCAAAAAATTCAAGCAGCTCTTACTGCTAAATTGAAAATTAACAGAATAGTGTCAAATTCAAACTATGGTATGTTTTCATGTTTCATTCAGAGAAACAAGAATGCTTCCCCTTCTGTTTCAAGAGGCAGTGCAGCTATTAGATTGGTTTAGTTTGTAACATTACTTCCATGCAAAAAAAAACCCCAAACAAACAAAAAAACAACAAAACCCCAATAAAATAAACACCAAAATGCAAAACAAAACCTTCCATAAAAAAGGAAAAATTACCTATAACTGGGCTGTCAGAGTAGTACTCTGTATTTCCACAGGATTCAGGCTTACACATGGAATAAAATGGTAATACTATTTTTTCAACTCCAGCAATTACTACAATAACAAAGGTGGGATTATAGTAAGGACATCTTTCAGTTTGACCTTAAAATATCAAACATCTGAACTTGTCAAAATAAGATTACACCCCTGAAAGAGATGAGCCTTGCATAAAGGGACAAACACCTTGGTAAAAGACTTGTAATGCTAGGATTATCTACCACCACTACGATATTAACCACAGAGAGATAATAATCCTGAAGTCTTGTTTTCAAAAGGAAACATACCCACGCTGACCCCACTCAAAACGCCTCACCAAATCACATTGTTCAAACCAACAGGTCTGTTCAAGACCTGCTCACAATCTTTAAAATAAAGGTCCAGACAGTTAACTTCCACATCATGCTTCCTTGAAGGTAAACTCATACACCCCACCCTGATGGATTAGTGTCACCAGATAGCTCCATGCCTAGAAGTAAAACATTTCTTACTGCATCTGAGACCTCTAGTGAGACCAAGACCCAAAACTAACCTGGCATGTCTTATTGACAATGTACAGGGGGAAAAAAAAAAAAAAAAAAAAAAAAAAAGAGTGAATTGAGTTACAATATCATGAGGCATAATGAAACAAATTTATAATTCAAATAAGGATTTCATAGGGAAAAGAATATTAGGCAAAGATGTTGGTGCTAGGAAACTGAAGGAACATTTAAATGATTTTTTCATCCTGGAATAATGAAAGGTTGACTTAGTGACTTGCTTGCTAAAGGGTAGAGCTGTTCTCATGAAACTGTAAGTATCAAAGAAGATAAACTCTCTTCCCTTGATCGGTGGATTTGAAAATTCACCATAAGGGATTTTAGAGCAACAGATGGCACATCTGTCCCCAAGCTTCTTCGTTATTTTCCTGCCCTGTAAGAGTATCATGACACTTTTGCAGCTACATACTGTACATTTTGAAATATAATTTGGAAGAACTTTGCAATTATGAGATTGTCTCCACTTCTCATAAAAAACTTCCTACTTTTGAGTGTGAGTTTCACAGTAACTCTCATTTCTTCAAATTAAGATTCCTCAGGGTCACACAATAAAATGATCCCTCTAACTTAACTAGCCAGCTATTTTGAAATTAAGAGGACAAAGTTCACCTGGGGATAAATTAATAGTTATTGGCCATGTGGATGTACCTATATAATCAAACTTCTCTGTTTTCCCACATTGCTTTGCATCTGAACTGCATGTGCTGTGCTGTTTTGAACACAAATTGCCTGGATGTTACCTCCTTGTTGAAAGGCTGGCAGGCAGCCATGAGACCCCATGTGTGACTACATACTCCTGGAATCCCACAGCCTGCACTCCAGCAATATTACAGCAGTCATGGCTCATGCATTTGTATGGAGCCATGCAGAGGTCACCAACTTCACAATCCGGGTAGAGGAGACTGCTTAGTCCTGCCTCAACAACAGCCGTGGTGATGTGAAGATACATAGATGTATATCAAAGTGATGCTGAGTGGGGTCACTCTGGGAACACTGCTCAAAGCTCCAGCAAACAAAACAGCTCCGGCACAATGATTTTAAAACAAACCTCTGGAAAGAAGCAGAACTCTGTCAATGCTCCATGTACCTTTCCCAAGTACCTCCAAACACTGGATGGACTTTTTCCAGCAAAGTCACTGAAGATGAATACCTCAGACAAAAGGCACAGAGACATCCACGGTTCTTAACTAGGGCTCCAGTGAGAGTGAGCTTCCTTTCCCTATAGTGGCATCCAAACCAGGACCTGGAGAACAGAAAGCTCGTTCATCCCTGCACGCAGAGTGGGAGTGTCGAGCCCGTCCTAGGCAAGTCACTGAGGAATAGTGTGATGGAGGTATGTTTATGGAAACTTCAAATACAGAAAAGAAAGGCAATGTAAAACATCCTTTGCTTTTTAACAAGCAAATATTTGGCATTTTGTAAGGTACACTTTCACAAGTGAGGAATGGAAAATTGCAAAGACATTGCAAGCACTCAGCCAGGCTTGGTGTTACTAAGTCCTGGTGCAGCACGGGCACTCTGAAGCGCTGCTCGCTGTGCTACACATCTTATGGGTGCCTGCGAGCAACAAAAAGACATCAAGACAAGAATGACACTTTCTTTTGGCATGAAAATCACAGGCTTGATCAGTATTGCAGATGTAAATATTCTTTCCATTCCCATCTGCAGCAACACTAGCAGACTATGCTTGTGAGTAGTGTCACTGAATTATCTGCTGCTCTGTCTCCTGCCTTTCTAAATGAGCCCATTACTGCTTCTGGGCAGCTTACAACAGTCCAACAACTTCCACGCAGGAGGTGGGTGTGCTAAAGTGCAAAGGTGCACACGCCGATTTCTTGCAATTGCCTACCTCCCAGTCTGTGCCTAAACCCCAGGCTAACTATTCCCCAGCTTTACCCTGATCACTCTTAAAAAGTAGCTTCTCAACTTTTCACCCTGAATCTTCCTTACTGCATGAGCCATACTACCTCTTACATGATACTTTCTCCACAGCTGGAGAACTGCTACTGCCTTTTATAAAGTATTTTAAGGCTACCATTATGTCTCTCCTTCAAACATCTCTAGGCTATTCACAGACGTCAACTCTGTGGCAACTCTCTGACTCAGAAGTGAGGCCATGTCTAAGAGGCATTTCAAAGAAAATTGCACTGCATATATTAGGAGAAGGCAACACAGGATTCTTGTCCAGAACTCTAAATGCTGTTTTTGGGACAACATCAGTATTGTTCTTCTGAAGAGATGTGCAAGAAAGCAGACAGTATAATTATTTCAGAACAGTTACTATTCAGCAACACAAACAATGCATAAATCTTCAACTCCAGGATTAGAGCTGAAAGATCCTGATCTGCAACTAAAAAAGCAAAACATAATTAGGAAAACCATAAATCTTAGAATCGTAGCATCATAGAACGGTTTGGGTTGGAAGTGACCTTAAAGGTTATCTAGTTCCAACCCCCCTGCACGGGCAGGGACACCTTCCACTAGACCAGGTTGTTCAGGGCCCCATCCAACCTGGCCTTGAATGCTTCCATTGATGGGCCTTCCACATCTTCCCTGGGCAACCTGTTCCAATGTCTCACCACCCTCACACTACAGAATTTCCTCCTAATGTCTAACCTAAATCTCCCCTCTTCTAATTTTGATCCATTAAACAAATACTTCCCAGAATATAAAGTCATGCTCATAATTTTTGTATCTGCAACTGAAATATAGTATCCTAAGTCAGCTCACTAGTAGAACTTTGCTCAAAATTATTTCATCACACAATCATGTAATTAATTTACTTCTCCCTTGATACTATGAGTACAGTAGAGACCACTATTTTCCAATTTTTAAAAGCGCTTTTAGTCTAATCTATTACATAAATTTCTAAAGTGTCTATCACTCCAGTTTATTGCCATGCTTTAGATAATATTCACAAGTTAAAGAATAACATATTGCACTCCTCATCCCACTTCCCAAAATCTTAGCTTTTGTGGATTCCTTAATGTCAGCTACCATCCTGAGTAACCTTTGGCGGGCAATTCCACAAGTGCCAAGTCTGACTGGACTAAGTGCTGCGTAATGCCTGAGAAATGTTGAGCATCTTGCTCCTGTTGGAGCATGGTCCTGTCCAGAAGAGGACCACAAAGATGATCAGAGGGCTGGAACACCTCTCCTATGAAAACAGGCTGAGGGAGTTGGGGCTGTTCAGGCTAGAGAAGAGAAGGCTCCAGGGAGACCTTCTGGCAGCCTTCCAGTACCTGAAGGAGCTACAGGGAAGCTGGGGAGGGACTTTTTATAAGGGTATGTAGTGATACGACATGGAACAGTTTAAAGCTGAAAGAGGGTAGATTCATACTAAATATCAGTAAGAAAGTATTTCTTGTCAGGGTGGTAAGACACTGAAACAGGTTGCCTAGGGAAGCTGTGGATGCCCCCTCCCTGGAAGTGCTCAAGGGTAGGTTGGATGGGGCTTTGAGAAACCTGATATCATGGAAGATGCCCCCGCCTATGACAGGGGGGTGGGAACTATATGATCTTTAAGTTCCCTTCTAACCCAAACCATTCTATGGTATTTGTGTTTCATTGCCTTAAACTGAGTTTATTTGGAAGGATAGGATACAAACCTGATGGAGAGCAATAACGTCCAAAACCTCTTTTATCAGTTATATCTAAATGTTACTACATGTTTGTAGCTGTGGACAACCCCAGGCTGCTGAACAACTCTTTCTGCGTAGCAGATAGAGGTGAATCAAAGGTGAAAACCAGTAAAAAGGCTCAATTTCCAGTCACTGGAACTTCCTTTTCAGACCTTTCAGACCTAAAACACACACAGGAAATCATGTTCAAGATAAACACATACACAATAGTCCCTTCAAGCCACGGCGAATCATGTGCAGGGCAGGCCTGGGTGGGTAAATGTCAGCACACTGAAGAGATCTTCATGGGAAACCCAGTCTTCCTCAACTCATGTAAAGCCCACGTGTAAACTCTAAAGGGCACAGGGTTCTCTTCCACCCCCAGGTCACTCCATACCAAGTCCCACACCCACTGGCCACTCAACACACCAGTGGGGCCGCAGCCCTTGGTCCCACCAGCTGTGGCCACTGCTGTTGTCAGCAGAAGGGCCCTGTTAGGGCCACTCAACGAGGGCACAGATACAACGGGTCACACACCTCAGTGGGAGAGGGAACACTGAGGGAATGAGTCACTCAAGGCCTGGCCCCAGCTTGTGTTAGAGGTTTCTGGTTTTGCAGCAAACAAACAGCTCTGGGGGTTACAGTGGTTTTACTTCAGGGTGGAGTCACCACCCCTGGAGGGATTTAAGAGATGTGTAGATGTGATGTTGAGTGCCATGGTTTTGTGGTGGACTTGGCACTGCTGGGTTAATGGTTGGACTTGATGATCTTAAAGGTCTTTTCCAACAAAAATTATTCTCCAGAGAAGGGCTATGAAGATGATCAGAAGGCTGGAGCACCTCTCCTGTGAAGGGAGGCCGGGAGAGCTGGGGCTGTGCAGCCTGGAGAAGGCTCTGGGGAGGCCTCATCGTGGCCTTCCAGGATCTGAAGGGGCTACGGGAAAGGTGGGGAGGGACCTTTGGCAAGGGCTTGTAGCAAGAGGACAAGGGAACAGATTAAAACTCGAAAAGGGAAGATTTAGATTGGACACTGGGAGGAAATCCTTCACTACGAAGGTGCTGAGGCACTGGAACGGGCTGTGCAGCGCAGCTGTGCCTGCCCCTTCCTTGGAAGTGCTCAAGGCCAGGCTGGACGGGGCTCTGCAGCAGGTGTCCCTGCCCGTGCAGGGGGGTGTAAGTAAATGACCTTTAAGGCCCCTTCCCACCCAACCCATTCTGTGGGCCTGTGCGCCCACGATTCCCCGCC